GAGGTTATAAGAAGGCAAATCAGTTACTCAGTCATATAACAGAAAGATTAAGTAGGGACCCAAACCCAGGCTTCTCTTGATACCAAGTTCACTGCTCATTTGATTACATTGCCACATTACCTCCCACAAAAGTTGTCTGCTGCTAGAGGCATAAACAGCATAATATGGAAGCATATCACTGGAGAAAAATCTTCATTTCACATAAAATCTAATTAGGAAAGATTCTATTTTTACTATTGCAGTACTATAAAATATTCCATGATAATATCTTTAAAAGGTATCATGGTACAATGGAAAGAATGATGACTCTTGAATCCAAGTACCTGTATTTAAATTCTACTTATTAATTTATGGTCTATGTGACCTTGGGCAAGTCAGGTAATGTCCTGAGTCTCGGTTTCCTCATCTGTAAAATAAAAAGATGGCTTCTGACATCCCTTCCAGCTCTAAATCTATGATCTATATGTGATGTGAAGGTTGCCTCAATGAAAATTTAATAAGAGCAATTCTTGAAAAGAAATTGCATCTTTATAATCATACAGCAGAGAGAAAGTTGCACAAGACCATTGCTTTTTATCCTTTGTTGACTATGAAAAAAAAAAGCATTTGACTTGTGAGAGCAAATGGCGACTTTGAAGTTTTGCTCCAATGGGAAGTATCTCATGGATACCAACTTTAATCAGCACTTATTACTAGGTCATGCAAGAATAAGGAGATGTATGTTTACAAAGGTTATTTGCCACTCTTATGGAGAAATATTTCTTGAATTCCAAATGGAAAAAGGAGTAAGTAGCAAAAAAAGTGGCAAGATCTTTACGTACTCTGTCTGCAGATGGTATTGTGCACACAGTAGTGAATCTTAGAACATTATAAAGCTTATCCAAATAAAACTCATTATTCAAGAGACTGACCTTTAACAACCTATATACGGAAAACTAAATGGATGGACAATACCATATGTGTGTGTGTATGTGTGTATGTATGTATGTATGCATGTATACATGTATATATATAAAATATATATTTGAGACGTGCTACAGATAATAATAAAGGTTTACAAAGCACTTTCTTTACATGTATTATCTCATTTTGTCCTCAAAAATAATCATACTGGTATTATTAGCTCTAGTTTATAGATAAGAAAACAGATGAAAGGTATTAAGTGACTTGCCCAGGCAAGACTTTTTGCCTTTTTGAGGCAAGATTTGAATTCAGGTCTTTCTGACCCCATTATACTATACTATCTAGCTACTTAAGATGAACAATAAATAAATCCAGAATTGTAGACAAGGAAGACATGTTGAATTGCCTTTGTGAAATTGTGCAAAAAAAATTAAAAAAAGAAATTGTGCAGCATTTTCCCCAAATTCTTCCTCTCCCTAGCAAAAAGGAACCATCTTTTCATTACTTATGTGTTCGTGATGCTGCTAAACACTGTAGATCTTGGAGTACTACGAATAAAAGTTCCTTACGATCTAAAGGGCCCCTGAGAGCTATGTGGCGATTGCAATCATTCTGCTGCTTATTTCCAGTGGTAACCTACATTCGTAAAGAAGCATTAATTTATATCATTGAGGAAGGATCTATTCAGAAAAGGAGGTGGGCCAGCTGTAGTAAAAATGCAGATTAACAAATGGTTATGTCAGGTGATACACTAGTATACCCAAAATGGAACAAAATGTAAGAAGACTTCTAGCACATGGAGGTAGACTCTCTGTGGAGGATCTATGGAAGAACTGTGAGAATTACATAGGATAAGAAGGAACAGAAAGATGTTGATCTTTAATGATAAAAGAAGAGTCTATAGTGATAGGATCACAAATACATTGAACTACTGATATCTGTGCACACATATACCTGTGTTTGCATATGTGAATGCCTATACATGAAGCTATAACTATGCATATATACATACATGCAGATATATGTACGTATATGTATATATATATATATATGTATGTACATACATAGAATACTGAAGAAAGAATATTTCCTTTTCATAATCTGTCTAGTACAAATTGAAGAACTGATGTATTTTCTAGAAATTTTATCAAAGTTGGTTGACAATTTAGGCTAAAAATACTACATTCACACATGTCTGCAAAAAATCTAAAAGATCCTGCTACAAGTTTGATTTTCTTTTGTACCTCCCAGATTGTATCCAAAACCATGATATGAATGAGATCAACTCTTAATCTCTAATGATTCAGTGTGTATTTAGATAACTATAGATTAATTTAGTTAGAAATGATAGGTTGTAAAAAGATGAAGTATTCAAGGGGTGAAAGGAAAGGATTACTTTATGTTCCAAAACGAATATTAAGTGCCACTCTTTAACTACCATCCAGAAGTATTTGCTTTTTCAAAATGTTATCATGCATATGTATATTCAGGGTTCTAGTACTCCTTTCCCATTAACTTCCCCACTGCCTAAGCAAAAGGAACAGAGATTTTAAGAACTAGAAAAATAAAGCAGCAGTATATAGTATGCATCTCCCCTTAAAATTCTATCAAAATCAGCACAAATAATAATAAAAGAGAAATAAAAATAAAGTTCAAGGTAGGGAAAATTCTTAAGTGGGCATGAACACAGAGAGAGGCTGCAATTTGATACCAATGCTATGAGCCCCTCCAGGGGAAGTAGCAATGTTGATTTTCCATTACATTGTGAAGAATGTGAAGCTTTGATTTTGCATGCCAGAGAATATGGGGCAAAGCAGAACTCCCTAATGGGAAACAGTGTGGCAGACATATTTTTAATTTTAAAGCCACTGGTGGTATTATATTTTTTGCTTTGCATCTAGACATTAATAACACTAAATAGCATATGTGTGTATATATATATATGTGTGTTTATATATATATATGTGTGTGTGTGTGTGTGTGTGTGTGTGTGTGTGTGTGTGTGTGTGTATAATTCTGTGGTAAAACTGCTACCTTTAGTGACTTCTACTCTGATGCCATCCAGGGCAAGTGAAGAAAACTAAGCCAATTCACTAGAAATGCAAAATTCCTTCTACTGAGAAAAAAAATTAACTTCAAGTAAATAATGGAGCACCTACAAAATATCACTCTCATCATAGCTGAAGGTGAAGTAATGACAAAGGTGTGTGAAGGGAATCGCAAAATCATGAGTTATCATAGTTGGAAGGAAGTTTTACAAGTCAGCTAGTCTGAAAGAATCTGTCTACAACTTGTATGAAAAACAGGTATCCATCCTGTAATTGAAGACATCCAATGAGGGAAAAGGCACTCAATGAATTCCTAGGCAGGCCATGCCATTGTGGGATCACTCTAATAATTCAGGAGTCATTCCTTACATCAAGCTTAAATTTATTTCTGGAACTCTCACTCTTTGTTCCAAGGTCTGCATCTTTCCTGTGTGACACTCCTTCAAATACTTGACGACAGTCATCATGTCTTCTTTAAGTCTTCCCTTCTTCGTGTTAAGCATCCTTAGTCATTTTCACTACTTCAACGACATGAACTCAAGCTCCTTCAACATCTAGGTCACCACTCTCTGGATACTCGACAGTTTATAAATATCATTCCTAAAACAAGTTGCCCAGAACTACACCAAAATTCTCTAGATTTGCTCAAATAAGCAGAAGAGATATGAAGAAACCATTAGAAGATAGTGGTTTTAGCCTGAAACTTCTCCGTTTTATTAAACAGACAAGTTCACCTTTCTTACTAGGAATATCTGGTTTGTCCATTAAGAAATCAAAATCCACGCACAAAGGAATTGAGGTGTTGGCCTCTTAGAAACATGACCTTTATGTGTACCATCTCATAACAGGATCAAATATGAGAAAATATGCCAAAAAGTAATATTCTAATCATGCGAGTATTTTTAAAAATTCAACTAGCATTGCATCATCTGTAATAATATTTTAGATAAATCTGCTTTCTGCATGATCTATAAGCAATTTTTTACAGAATTAAATCCCTGATATAGGGAAAAGAAAATTGGTTTTCCTCTGTTGTCATTTCTACTGCTTCCCCATTCTCTTATAGGGTGTAGCATAGCTAGCTAGCTAGCTAGATAAATATGGTATTTTAAACAAATTTAGTACTATTTAAACTTTTACTTAAATATTTATGCCAATAATAAAACTTTGGAAATGATCCACTGTATATTGTACTAATAATAGAAAAATATATGTGTGTGTGCGTATACATGTTTAATCTTGTTTATATATCTATCTATATATTAATTAACATATATACAACATATACACATATATGTTCATGTGTATGTGTATGTGTGTACACACATACACATATACCTACACATACATATATGTGTACGAACAGAAGATTAAGCACAAAGATAGACTATAAGGCTCTGACATTTTTTTTGTTTCTATTTGCTATTGTAGTTCACTATCTATAATTGAGGAAATTATTATCATTGAAGTAGTGTTAACAAACTAACTAGCCTGATACATTTTACTCATTCATAGGATATTCCATCTCAGTCAAACTGATTTCATTATATGTATGAGCAAAATTTCTCCATGAATAATTTTATTTTATATTAATTTTATTCTTCTTACTTTTTTTTCCTTGGCTAACTAAAGTACAATTGATGGACCAAAGATTTATTTAAATTGTCTTAAATCTGACATTTGAAAAATAATATAGAGAGAGTGATGAATATTGCCCAATAACATGGAAAGGTTAAAAAAAAAACAATTGAATTTAATTGAATTTCTATACAATAACTAACTTCAACAGCAAAAATTTTTGGAAACCAGTTAGGCTTTTAACAGATTCAGTTCATGAACTGCATTTTATTTGTTTTCTGCATGCCTGAATTGCTCATCTGTCAGTAATGGATAGGAGACCTTGGATGTGTTTCAGAATTGTATGTGGGACAGTAGCAAAATGCCAGATCTGCTAGAATCCAGAACTTCCCTTCATCTGAGTCATTTGATTTCAGTTAGCATAGCAAAGCACAAGGACAGCCATACTTCACTAAAATGATACTTTGAAATGTCATTGCACATGCCCAGTAGTTACTTTTCCAATCTACGTTAAACAGCTGGTTCCTATTTTATTTGCAAAAAATGCCAGAGAAGACATGTTCTCCCTATGGTCTTAAAAACATATTCAGGCCTCTGAAAGAAACTTAAAAAAAAAAAGTTTTAGGTTACAAGAGAAGAGAAAAATTCCAAACTGATGAAGTCTTTGGTTCCTGCCTCTCTACATAACAGCTTAGAAAGATATCAAGGAAGATGAAGAAAGAGGAGGACCATGGTGGAGAAGAGAAAGGAGGGATTTATAAAAGGTAGGCGCTGCTCTACAGAGTTCCAGGTATACTAGGTTATAGCCAGGAGCACATTTTTATGACTGTGGTACAACTTTCCATGAAAATAGAGTATAACGAGACCAATGCTGGCAGGCATTTATAATAAACTAGAACACACACACACACACACGCACACACACATATGTATGTATTTTAAAGTTTTCCTGCCTCTTAGTTTAATGAAGGCATTTCATAAAAGACCAAGAAACATTGCTCAAAAAAAAAAATCTGTAGAATTAGGTCCAGGTGTTTTAAACCCTGTATCCGTGTGTCTGACTGTTTGCAGCTCAGACTGAGAGTAATTCATTTCAACACAACTTGTTTTTATCAAGAAACAGACTTTGTAAAGAAGCCCGCCTTTGTTCCACTGCAGGCTAACATGATGCCTGGTGCCTTCCCATAGACAAGTATGTTTCTAATTGAATTGCATACTAATGTTTTCCTATCCAGAGAAAGAGATGGAGAAACAATATTTTCACAGTTGAAATCTCACTTCACTTGGGATTCCTAAAGAATCCAACTTAACCTACTTCCAGTCTGAATGGGGGAAGGGAAGAAGGAATAAGGGCATATTTGGTGAAACAACATCAGCTGTAGGCTTATTTATAGCAAGAGATAGATTACCACTTCCTGAAATACTTGATTTTTTTTTATTAGTAATGTTTGTTTTCTATCTAAGATAGATGGGGAGAAAAAACAATACTCTCTTTATAGAAACCTAACAGAACCATATGCGTGTTCTCCCAAATGGGCTGACTCATATAATGGTTCATTTTTATAATATGTAAGTTGGAAAGTTGGACTGCTTGTGAGCCATGATTGGCACCAACAGGGTTTGGGTCCGACACATTTTAGCAGTGTGGCAACCATGGAAATTTGAAAGAATCATCTTCTTTTCATTTGAAAATAATGCACTTTAAATGATTTTTCCTTTGACTTCTTCATATAATTAGTAAACCAGTTTAAATTTATTATTTTATTTTACACTATTCAATCACTCTAAAGAATATTCCAGCCATAACTTAGCATTCCATCTACCATCTTCGTACTATTGTTGAGGCTGTCCTCCATGACTAGAATACATTTCTTTCTCCAATCTGTTTTTTCTGTTTCTTTGTTTTTTGTTTTAGAGTCCTGTTTTTTTCCAAGCTCCGACTAGGTACTCCCTCCTACAAGAAGCTTCTTCTAATTTCCCTGGTTGTTAATATGCTCTCTATCCTAATATTATTGCATATTTACTTACCTATTTACAAGTGTTATACATTCTAGTAGAGTTTAAACTCCTTGAAGGCAAGGGTAGTTTTTGTTTTGTTTTATTTTGCTTTGCCTTGCTTTATTTTGGTATCCCCAAACCTAGTACAGTGTCTTGGACAAATTAGGTGCTTAAAAGTGCTTGTTTAACTGATTTGAATGGAATTAACATTTGCAGCTTGATCCAATCCACTAAAAAGCATAGTGTGAGAAAAATCCCAACATATTTAAAACTGGCTTCTCTATTTGCCACAGAGACACTGGTCAATAAACCCATGTCATCTTTGTGAAGATAAAACTGTTGGCCTAATTCTACCTTTCAGGCATGACAAGACCAAGGTCTTACTCTGCTGAATTTTACTATTCTGACAAAATAAGAAACCATATGATTGATGACTCAATTATGATTAATTGCTGTCTAGGTCCATACCTACCGAAATTAAAAACTACAACCTGATGGGGAGTGAACATAGGGTAACCAGGTCTCTTCCCTAGAGCAATGAAATGTAAAAGTCAATAGATAGTGTAGTAGATTGAATGTAAGACTTAAAGTCTGGAAGACCTGAGTTCTAATCCATCTCCAGACCCTGGGCAAGTCATTTATCCTCTGTCTCCCTCAGTTTACTCATCTGTCAAATGGAGCTAATAATAATATCTAGCTCCCAGGTTGTTGTGAAAATAAAATGAGATCATATTTGTAAAATGTTGTGTAAACTGTAAAGAGCTATAAAATTCCAATATTATCATCATCAATATCATACAATGTCGACAGAATTTCCAGTCATTCAACAGTGTTTGAAACGAATGAGTTTAGCTCCTAGTTAGGAAGAATAATTGTTAAAAATAGGAAGTCATCCCATGACAAACTTCCTCCCTCCTCAAATTGGATCACCCCAGAAGCAGTCACAAAATCTCTGTGCTGCCACATCATAATCAACTTCATTTTTCTTTAAAAAGTTAATTTAAGAGCACATGTGCTCTCTTTCCTAGGAGCAAAACTCACGAGTTATGACTGAACCTGACCTGCAAAACCAAGAATATTCAATCCTTATATTTGTCCATCATAAGTGCCCATATGAGGAACAGATTTATCCTTTGTGGCATCATATTTTTCCCCAACCCTCGGGAAAATAGGGAATCTATGGTGGTTTCAATGTTTGGTTTATTACTGTTGTTTTCTTTTGTTTTTATCATTAGATAAACCTGAACTGCTTGCTATTATACTCTGAAGGGTTAACAGTGGTAGCTTTTAGCTAACTATGTGCTCAATATGGCATGATAAAGTTATACCTCATTTGTCTCTCTGTAGACACTCCACCAAGAATGGGTCAAAAAACATTCTCACGGCGTTGGCAAAATCTATGCGAAAAGGTCAACAGCATTCAGAAAATCCATTTCACAAACTCCTAGCTAAGCAAGAGCAGAAAACAATTACTGTGAACAGAGCCCAAGTTCAGATTTAATTCCAAATACGCGGTTCCCCACAGACTTTAAAAAAATAACAGGAATGATCATTCTACCCTGGACATATTTAAATCACCCTGTGAAAACTCATGCGCTGTACACTTCAAACATGTGAATTTGTGGGTGAGGCTCAGTGTCAGGAAGCAGAAAACACTTCAGAGTTATAGATAACAGAGAACTCAGGGTTCAATGGATAAATAATTTCAAGAAAATGTTGGAAGTAATCTGTGCTTCATAGAAAGACTATTCCAATGCAAACTATGATGAATGGCTGTGTGTGCATGTCTACGTTTTAGCAAACATGCACCACTGTTCTAAGGTATTGGCCCCTAGGACTCATTCAGAGGTTTGTTTAAGGAATGATCCACATACTATATAAAAATAATTATTTAGTCATCTTTCAATCATGTCCTATTCTTCATCACCCCTTTTTGGAGTTTTCTTGGCAGAGATACTGAAGTGCTTTTTCATTTCCTTCTCCAGCTCATTTTACAGATGAGGAAACTGAGGTAAACAAGGTTAAGTGATTTGCTCAGAGTCACACAACTAGTAAGTATCTGAGGCTAGATTTGAACTCAGTCAAATGAGTCTTCCTGACTCCAGGCCTAGAACTCTATCCACTGCACTACCTACCTGCCCACAACATAAAATAAGTGGTTACTTAATTCTGGAATCTCATTTGCTTCTCTCCACAGCACAAGGCCATGTGTTTCAAGATTCCTTCAATGCTTGATACATCCAGAACTTAAAGGATACACAAATTCCTCACTGTGATCATGATGGTCAATTTCTAAATCTTATAGTCTCTTCACGCCTTCTCATCATTGTTTACCCTTTTTATACCTTTCAACAAATTGTCCATAAGGAAGACACCTTATGTTAGTAACAACAGCAGCAACAACGAAAGCAATAACTGTAATTCCACTGCTATAGGGGAACTTCTGGATATGGAAACTGACTGTCTTAATTCCTATGACCACCTTCTTAGAGACTTGCCTTAGAGTACTGAGAGGTTAAGTGCCCACAGTTTCATAGCCAGTAAGTGTTGGAAGAAGCACTTGAATCCAGATGTTGCTGACTCCAAGGCCAGCTTAATAACCATTAAGCCATTGTTGCTGTTCATCCCTCATCCTCAAAAAGGACCGATGACATCAGGACTTGCAAGTGAATTGGATTTAAGTGAGGCAGAGCCTCATTTTCTCCTCACGAGTCATCTGAGTCCAGTGACAAAACATAGGTCAGGATCACTGGCAACAGCCCTGGATGCAGTGGGAGACCTTGGCCCTTTTAAGCTAGATCTTTCCCAGGTCTCAGTTTGTTTGAGGCAACATCCATTTGGTAATTAAAGGACACTTTGTGAAGGAAAATAAGGAAGTTAACATGGAAATGTGGATAGAGTAGATTCCAGGCATGGAAGGAAGCCTTTGCGAATGCACAAAGGTGGAACTTAAAATGATAGATCAAAGAAACAGCTACTCATCCAGTTCAACTAAATACAATAATTAAACAATCAAATAACCAGGTAGTACTATGAAAAGACTGAAGAGGAGCTAGATTGTGGAGGGCCTTAAATGTCAGCCTGAGAAATTTTTATTTTGTTTGAGAGGTGAGAAAAAGCCACTGAAAGCGCCTGAGCAGAGGAGTCACATGGCCAAGCTTAGTTTTCAGAAAGAAAAAAAAATGGCAGCTGTTTGGATTGTGGACTGGAGAAGGGAGGGAATGGAAGCAGAGAAACTTAATCAATGGACTATTATGATAGCATAGGTGAGAGCTGACCAATGTATGAAATACTATATTTGCTGTGGGAAAGAAGAGGATAAATTCAAGAGATGTTGTTGTATAGATAAATAATATTTGACAAAATTACTAGAAATCCACAATTAAAAAGGTAAGAGGAAAGAATGTTAATCAAAATAAGCAATTGCTAGTCAAGAACCATGATTCAAGTATCAAGGATTTTAGACTGAAAAGTAAGAGTTGTTTTTGGTGATATGGGTGTGTTTTTTCCTTCAAAGGTGATCAGTGTGTCTCATGGGGTAAAGAAAATCACCCAGTCCTGAAGGTGAGAATAGGAACTTTTTTCCCCTCTGACATAGGAAAAGTTATCCTCTCAAGGCTCAATAAAAAACAGCCAAAAGACATTACTATAGTTATCAATAATGGCTACAGGGTTTCTTCTTGATATCCATGTTTTGGGGTTGTGAGGATTGGGAAAAAGAAGTGTCAAGAATGATTTTGAATTTGTGAACTTTGATGTAGGATCACAGCAGTCCCTTCTACAGAAATAGGGAAGATTGGAGAGGAGGAACCTTTCATTGGGAAAGATGATGAGTTGTTTTGGACATGGTCAGCCTTAGATGCCTATTGAGGAAAGCATCTATGTAAATTGGTCAAATATAATGCCAAGTCTGTGAAGAAATGAAAGTGTGGCCAGAGTGGGCAGGGTGAGAAGGGGGTTGATGGATTTGGAGAACATGGGAGTTTAAAGAGTCAAGAGGTTATAGTGAGAAGGAAGAGTAGGAAAAGTGAGGCAGAAGAAGAAAAGGAAAGAAATGTCAATCAGAAAGAAGAATTTCAGCATTTAAGTTCATGAAGGTGGTGCAGCTTTGTGTGAAAGGACTTGAGAAATGTTGTCTCTGGTTGATCAGATAATGAAGTATTTTTGTCATTGTTGCTCTTGCTGTTTTGTTTTGTTTTGCTTTCCCCTACAAGGCTGTTTGAAGTGCTTCAAGGAGAAATTGAAGAGAAAATAAAAAGATCAAGGACAGAAGTAATACTAATAGTCTTTTGGACATTTAGGTAGAATAATATAACAAAGAGAAGTAAAGGAAAAAGAACATTTGCAGTTAACTAGGTTTTAAGTGTGGACATCTAAGTGGCACAGCAGTTAGAGTGCAGAGTCTGGAGTCAAGAAGACCAAAATTCGAATCCAGCATTTACTAGCTGTGTGACCATCGGCAAGTCACTTAATCCTGTTTGTCTCAGTTTTCCCATCTGTAAAATAAGCTAGAGAAGATATGGCAAACCACTCCAATCTCTCTGCCAAGAAAACCCCAAAAAGCTGTGAAGAGTTAGAAAAACTAAAACAACTAAACAACGGAAACAACAAAGTAATAAGTATAATGCAACACAGTATGTTACTGGACCATATGTGAAGCCAAACGTTTTTTGTTGTTGTTGTTGTTATTTTCTTTTTTGTTTCTCTTGTTAAATATTGTGTCCCATGAAATATATTTCTTTAAATTTTGCAAAGTTCTTGAAATATAATATTTCAATGGAGTCAACAACCCTGTGAGTTAGCTACTGCAGGCATTATCACCATTTTACAGATGAAGAAACTGAGGCTCAGAGGGGTTAAATAATTTGCTCATGATCTCATACTAAGTGTTGTGGGAAGACTTGAATGCAAGTCTTCAAGACTTCAAGTCCAAAACCCTATTACTATACCACACTGCCTCTCTGAAAACTGAAAGAAAAATTAACTATGATTGCCCAAACTCTGCTGTGATCTTTGAAAGATCTTGTGGTAGGAGTGAAGAAAAACACATGTCCCAATGTTAAAAAAAGAAGAATGATGTGTTTACAGTCCAGAGGCCGGTGAATTTGGCTTCCATTCATAGCCAAAATTATGGAACACACTATTAAAGGAGCATATCAAAATAAAGGCAATGATTAATAAACATGAGCATGGCTTTATCAAAAACACAACATTTTCTTTTTTAGCCCAAGTCACTAAACAAGGTAGATAATAGGTCTGTACTAGATGCAGTTTACCAAGATTTCAAGCCAGAATTTGACAAAGCTCCTTCTGACAACCTTGCACATGAAATGGAGATATATATTTTGGTTGACAAATGAAGACAAGTGGATTCAAAATAGTTGAATGACCAATGACATTAATGAAACAATTTAAATCTGAAGGAAACATCTCAGGAATTTGTCCTTGGTCTTATGGCATTCAATATTATAATCAGTGATTTAGATGAAGCCATAGAGTGGATGCTCATCAAATTTCATCTACCCTAAACTAACAAGGAATGATCTAGGAACTATATTATTCATTCATTCTTACTTCACTTTATCTACCTATTATTTTCTCTGGTAGACCTAAAGCTCCTTGATTTCAGGCAGGATTTTTCTTTTTTCGTTTTTGTTTCTCTTATTTATTTTTTTTTAAGCTTAATGTTCCCAGTGCCTAACACCTTTGTAGGTTCTTAATGACTGCTTGTTGATAGATCAATTAGATACCTAACTTACTTCAGGATTCAGTTCTGGAGCCATCTCCCATGTAAGGCCTACCCAGATCTTCACAGCTAATAGTACAGTCTACTTCATCTTTCCCCTAAATTATGGTGTATTTATTTTGCTTATATTTACATTGCTATGCATATGTTATTCCTCCCCTATAAAACACAATTACCTCCTACAGGGAAAGGACTGTTTATTTTTTTTTCTTTCTCTATGAGTTGCTTAATAAATGCTTTATAAATGAATGAATAAATTAACAAATATCAAAAAGGAACTGAGAATATGAAACCTAGAAAAAATATGGGTAACAAACTAGATATCTTTGAATATTTGGAGGACTGTGGGTAAAAATTAGGATAAGGTTTAACAAAATTACCAAGTATTTCATTAAGCACTTAACATTGAACATCAATACAACCAACCACACTTGCTTAGAAGAAATTTATCTATCAATTAAACAATCAAACAATAAACATTTATTAAAATTGACTGGCTATGTAGCAGGCACTGTGCTAGGAGCTGGTGATATAAGTATAAAGAATGAAAAAAAAATCCCCACTCACAATTAACTTCCATTCTAATGGGGGAAGATGAGATATTAATAATTAAATATACCATAAATGTAAAATAAATAAATCAAATATATATCAAATAATTTTTAAAAGTTCATAACAATTTACTAATTGCTTTCTGTAATCCCCCATTAAGATTCTTTGTCTTTCACTCTCAATTCACTTTTCCCTTTGTAATCTATTTTTTTAAGGTTTCTGGGTATTTGTTTTGATTTCGTATAGAATTGTGCAGAATCCCATAGAGTCATGGTGTTGGAAAGGACCTCAGAGGCCATCTAGTACAACCCAAATCTGAATAAGCATTATTTCCTAACAGACTTTATTTTCCATACTTCTTTGTATTTGAAATTTTGTTGTGGTATCACTGGGCCAAGTAGTCAGAGGCTAAATGAAATGGGTTAACATGTGAACTAGCAAATAACTTGCCTTGGAAGGGTTCGCATAAATGTCAGATCACGTCATAACACGGAATTCCTACATATGATGATAGATTGAACTATATAATCCCTTGTATTCCCTTCTTATTCTAAGATGGCTAGGAGTGTTATTCAAATTCTCTCTTATAAACAATCTATTCATAGCCGGAATAATGAATTGCAATCCAATTATAATTTCAAGTTACTCTTGGCCTGTTGCTCACTAATATGATTGAGAGCCACCATCTCAAGATGCTCTTTGTCTTCTTTCTTCATCTATTCCTCAAAGTGAGGTGATGTGGTATAAAGGGAAGAATGCTAGGTTTGGACTCAGGTGATGCTCAGCTTCAAACCTCATATTTTTCTGACTTTACAAATGTGACAAAATTGTTTGATTTTTTTGAACTTCTGTTCACTCATCCCAACAAAATTGGGATATTTGTTCTAAGCTAAGAACAACAACAAAGAAGTAAAAGAGCAAAACAAGAATCAGAAATATTAGAACTCAATATGTTGTTCAGTAAATTCAAGAACACTAGCTATTTGCCTGCTCAATATGAACTCCTAGAAAGATGGGAAAGCAGTTTAGCCAAAAATAGGTTTAGACCAGCATCTTACACCATATACACAATGAGGTTTTACTAAATACTTAACCTACGTACAAACAGTCATGTCATTTTTTTTAAAGGAGGAAAATTGAAAGAAGTAATTCTCACAGCTATGATTAGGGGAGGTATAAAAGGACAACCATAAAAAAAGGACAATTTTTACTGCATGAAACTGTAAAGCTTTTACCCAAACAAAATCAAGGGAACAGACATAAGGAGGGAAACAGTCTACTGGGCAGGTGGGGGAAATCTTTGCATCAAATATTTCTTATGGAAATCTGATATCCAAGGTAAATTGAGAACCAATATAAACACATAAGATCAAGATCTAAGTGGTTAAGGGATATACAGAAATATTTCTCATAACATTTTGAACTATTCAAAACCACTTCTTGCACAAGTGGAAGAAATACCTGTATCAGAATAGTCTATATCACTCTACTTCCTGGCCCTCTTCTTGATAGCATTGCTAACTTCCTTGAAGACCAGATATGATACCTTGAATTTTTAACACTTTTATCTCCGAAGCTTCTGTCCTAATTAGTAATTGCCTCAACTGCACCTCTGTTTAAGGCAAACCTCAACCACATTTACTTCACTCCCTGTTTTTTGAATATACTTCTCTTGTTCTGGAACCACAAGCAAATCAACTCTGTCATTGTTCCTAGAATGGGTGGGTCAATCTACTCTGTCACTCTCCTGTGTGTATTATTTCTGCCTGTTGGAATGTAACTTCCTTGAGAGAACAGACTGCTTTGCTTTTCTGCTTTTCAGTTTTTATCCTAGTGCTTGGAATATAATAAGTGCTTATGAAATGTTTTTTTTCATTTATTTATCCACTTATTTATCCACTTATTAATGACATCATGGAGATACAGAGGCATGGAAAAGCTAATGTTCCTAAAAGGAATAATTCAATTGAATTCATAAAACATTTATTAAGTACTAGGTACTAAATACTATGCTTTCCATGTTAAATAAATAAAAGAAATAGTCTCAATCTTGAAGGAGTAACATACTTATTAGGCAGAAGCAATATATATATATATATATAAAGATAAGTAAATACAAAATACATACACATATACAGAATTCTATTTCAAAGGGGAAGGGTAATAACAGTTGAGGGGAGGGATAAGGAAAACCCATGATTGAAGATGTGACATGAAGGAAGACAGGGATTCTAAGATATGGTGGTAGAAAAGTGCTTTCCGAGTATGATCAGTCTACACAAAGGCAGGGAAATGAGATGAAATGATAGGTATAAGGAAGACTCTCTTGTACTAACTATTATTTGTTATATAAATTTCAATCAGAGAAATTAAAGAGTTCTGTCTTTGAATCTCTGCACCTTGAGCAGTGTCTATTGTTTTGGGGGTTTTTTTGTTTTCTTTTTGGATTATATTGTATTGAGTATATAAATATTAAACTGTTACATTTCACCCACCACTGGAAATCGGACACTTCACATATGCAAATGGCAACTGAATAATAATGAAGAGGTACAAAATTTGGCATCACAATTCTTTAATATGTATACTGTAGACAATTACTAAAGAATTATTAGTAAGAAATCGGATACTAATGTCATCTCTAACCCAAACCTGAAGTCAACAATTGGGAAACTTTCAAAGTGCTGGATAGACTCCACATGCAGGCTCTAAAATATTCTGGAAGCCCCAAGATGATGCACTCTGGGATGCTAGGGAGACTAATATTGCCTTTTGACAAATTATTGTTGTTGTGGAAAACATTAAGGACACATTCTATTCAAAATCAAATCTCCATTTTGGCACAATCAGCAGGGCTTAATTAGAGAACATGAATAA